AAGGCTAATGCAAAGATGTCTGGGAGATCAGTGCTTCGAGATTGTCCTTATTTATTTTGACGACATCATTGTGTACTCTAAGGATTTCGATACGCACCTAGCTAATCTTGAACGGGTCTTTAGCAAGCTAACGATGCATGGCCTAAAGCTCAAGCCCGGCAAGTGCCATCTCTTGCAGCAAGAAGTGCGGTACTTTGGGCATATGGTGTCAAACAGAAGTGTTGCTGTTGATCCGGAAAAAGTACGAGTTGTCCAAGACTGACCAGAGCCTAAGACGGTGAGAGATGTTAGGGCCTTCCTAGGGTTTACCGGATTTTTTCGGAGGTTCATTAAAGGATATGCATCGATCGCAGCGCCACTCTTCCGTCATTTGAAACATAGCCCAGATAATAAGAGAAAGAAAAAACGACCGAAAGATGGCCCGATTACCTTCTGCACTGAATCTTGGACAGCGTTCAAGACTCTTATAGAGTGTTTTACGACAGCACCGATTTTAGCATACGCTGATTTCACCCGACCGTTCCGTGTTGAGACTGATGCCAGTAGTACAGGATTAGGTTCAATACTGTTTCAAGAGGACGATAAGGGAAGACACCACGTAGTAGCATATGCATCACGTACATTGAGACCAGCAGAACAGAGTGGACGTTACAGTGCCTTCAAACTTGAACTGCTGGCCATTAAATGGGCAGTGACTGAGGTTTTCAAATATTATTTGTTTGGAAACAAATGTACTATTGTGACTGACTACCATCCCCTACTCTTTTTGGACAAGGCAAACATAGGCTGTACTGAAATGAGATGGGTTCAACAACTTAGCTCATTCGACTATCAGATCACATACCGACCAGGTGCAAGGAACCAGGCACCTGATGCTCTTTAGCGGACAAATCAACTTTCAGAAGAGTATAGACCCGATTAAGCAGACGAACTAATTAGAGATTGCACCGTAGTTGTGTCGAGCAGTACTGTGGGAGCTTGCCTTGGGGTGTACAGTTTAGGGACTCTCCTCCCACCCGCAATACATCAACATGTTGAAGTATGTCAACAGAGAGGAACCATTTGCTTCCCAGCATACACGTTAGAAGAATTCAAGCAGCTACAGCAGGAAGATATGCATCTGCAAGAGGTTGTACGATTTGTCTCTAGAGGGAGGCAGCCTAATCGGGTTTCCTGTACCCAGAATACCCTGAAGCTACTACGCGACTGGAAACGACTCACAATGGATTCTGGCGTTTTTTGTGTCGGAGAGTGACAGCCCCGTATAACGTGGTATATTCACAGAAGGTCCTTCCTTTTTCCCTGGTGGGAGAAGTGCTTACTAAATACCATGATGAAGCAGGACACCTTGGAGCAAAACGAACTTTCAAATCAATTTGGAAGGTCTTCTATTGGATTGGTATGTACGAAATTATCAAAAAATGTTGTTCAAATTGTCGCCGCTGGAGCTTGAGTAAACCCCCCGTGCGGAAAACACTACCAATGTATGGGACAATTACTGCATCGGCTCCAATGGAGACTATAGCTATGGACTACACTGTAGTAGAACCATCAAAAGACGGTTTCGAAAACATCTTGGTTCTGACTGACGTGTTTACGAAATATGCGTGGGCAATTCCGACTAGAGATAAGCGTGCTATAACGATCGCCAAGGCCCTAGTGAAGTATGTCTTTACTCCTTATGGATGTCCAATGCGCTTACACTCGGACCAAGGCAGAAACTTTGAGGCACAAGTTGTACGAGATCTGTGTAACCTCTACGGCATTAAACGGAGCCACACTACACAATACCACCCCTCAGGAGACGGGCAATGCGAGAGGTTCAACAGGACCCTTCACAACCTCTTGTCTACCCTTTCGGAGGAGGCCAAGCTGAAGTGGCCTGAATACCTTCCTAGCCTGGTGTTTTCATACAACAACACGTCACACTCCAGCACCGGAATTGAACCATTCTTCTTAATGTTTGGAAGAAACGCTCTTCCACCACATGGTTTGGTCTTAGGCGGGGAAGCCAGATCCACTAATGATGGAACTATAGCAACGTATGTCACTCAACACCAGTCCAAACTTAAAATGGCCCGCAGGATAGCGAGTAAACACTTAGCACAGATAGCCAATACTCGTGGACGGTCTCAGAAGGTATTTGAGAAACCCCTCAGCGTGGGGCAGCATGTACTGGTCCGTACGCGAGGATTCAAAGGACGATCAAAGGTTCAGGACTATTGGGAGAGTGAGCCATATTTAGTGATAAAGCAACCATTTGAGGAGAGCCCAGAATATGTGGTACGCAACAAACTGGGAAAGGAGAAAGTGCTACACCGATGTGAATTAAAGATATGTATGACCGATATGATGCACACAACTGATTGCAAATATGGTTCAAGTTAAATTGAGGCGTTGTGTTTAATGAGTTGAAAATGATTTACTAGTAGTTTAAGACATTGTTTGCATCTATACATGATTATAATGTTGGTACAGTTTTTGGTTATTTAATAATGGTTAAATTCTGAAATACGAGATAATAAGAAAAGACGTACAGTAGTTACTTATGTGAGTCATTAGGGGACGATGTCTCCTAGGCGGGGAAGGTTGTAGGGAGTCTAGACGAGAACATTGTATAAACATTATGGGAGAGTTATGGCAATTGCAACCTTGTTTACGTACTGAGAAGGTTCCTAGGCAACCTTGCTCCTGCGTACGGTCAGCATCGCGTATGGTACGATGCTGTTTGCCTGGTGTTTTGTAGATTTACTGGACTAGATGCTTTGATGGGTGTTAATAAATTGAAATTGAACACGTATAGGACGACTCCAGCTCTATTATTTCGGAACATACATTATATATATATATATATATATATATATATATATACTAATTATTATATTAAAACTTAAACAGGCTTGATTTGATATGAATTCTTTTAATGCGTTTAATAATATTAATTGAATAGATATGTTTACAAACTAAATTATACCAAAATCAGATCTCTAAAACTAGTAATTACGGAGTTATAACTTGTATTGTGGTCAAAGGTGAGTATGGGCATTTTCTGTCAATTTTAATCTAAACTAGACCAAATAAAAATAATAATACATTTTCAGGAATTGGACATAAAAGGCAACTCATTGTGACCAATAGTCTGTGAGAAATGCCTTGTGATATAGGTCAATGAACAGTATTGGTGACTTACAAGAAAAAAATAATCTAGCTGTAGAAGTTTTTGCAGGGTGAATATATCTTTTTTTTAACAGTCCACTGCATAGTGAATTGCAGTAGTCCTGTATTGAAAGAACCAGTGCCCTCATAACAGCATGGCAGGTATCACTATCTATGAACTTCCTGATTCTCCATAAGTTTCTTAGATGGAACTTAAAAGCAATGCTAACATTAGATACTTGTAGGCTGAGACCTGCTGCCGAGTCAATAGTCACTCCAAGAGTGCGGACACTCTTTAAGATGTTAAAACCAAAATTGAATTATAAAAATTCCAATCTTTATCAACTTTCGCACAATATTGTAAATGTTTGGATGTTTGTATAGGTTTTTGGTTCAGAATAAAAAAATATCTCTTTAAATTTAGGCTTCTTCGCCTATAAGCCTAATTATATACTATTTTTAACAATGTAAAAAGTCAAAGCTCCGAATTAAAATACATCCTCATCGATCTAAATGATTATTTGTTTGTGCTTCTTTAATACCTTTCCTAAAGTCACAAGTAATGTTAACATTCATCATCTAGCTATTCGTAGATACGCCAACTTTTTGGTATTACGATGTAAAAGCGAGTGCAAAATTGAAAAAAACAATACCCCGACTTCCGTCTTCATGTCGTTTAATATAAAAAGTAGAGGTGTTTCTTCGCAAACAATTGAAAGTATGGTGATATTTTTATTTGAAATGCAGTGGCGAACCTAGCGGTATACCGGAGGATGGGCTAGCTGAAATCTGGCTAAATAATGTAGTATTATCTTGAATTAAATTGAACTTTAGGGCTAATTAGGGAGCTCAACTCATATTCTCTTCTTTAAAATCCTGCCAGAAGATACCTCAAAGGTTATGAGGTGGGATCTTGGCCAGATTGGCACTTCTACCCACGACGGTAAATATAATGCAGTAGTCAAAATTAGGTAAACTGGGTTTTGATTAACTGGGTTTTGATAATCCTGGGTAGGATAATGGCATTTGGACAAAACTGGATTTCGGTTGTTACGGGGTGATTATTAACTACTTAAGCGTAACTTTTTGGGTTTCCACGGTTTCCAATAGGGCGACTAGGGGAACAAGATTTTAGCGAGGAGGGGTGTGTACTATTTGCGCACCCCTAGTTAAGACACTGCTGAAATGTAGTAGGCAATTATTTTCAATTCACTGCAATACTGCCAGGGAGGGAAACAAGTCCCAGTCCCATTACTCCTTGAAATCGTCAGAAGAAGTATTTAATGTGAAGGAAGAAGAGCAATCAATACCGTAGCCAATATTTCCGAAAAATGCGGGACAATATCAGGGTGGACCCACTTTACGAGTAATGTGGACCCATTTTCTTAAATATTTACCCATTTTAGGAAAAAATATGAAAAATCTGGACCCATTTTCTTAAAATTTTACCCATTTTATGCTAAATATGAGAAATCTGGACCCCTTTTCCAAAATGTGGACCCATTTTATGTGTGAAATCGCATAATTTGGACCTATTTTTCAAAATGTAGACCAATTCTTTGTGGAACAATAGAAACATTGTGTAGGACTGTTCCAACCGTCCCAAGAGATGACTACGGCATTGAGAGCAATACATCCGCTTGGTATACAAGAAAAAAAAAACTTTTTCAAAATGTATGAGTTATTTGGGTTTGGGTTCGCTGGTCAAAGGGCGATTTATTAAAAAATCGCTGTCTACGGGCCTGAAGCTTTACTAATTTTCCCTGGTAGCCCATCTTAATGCGATTTTTTTTATAACGACTCATTCTGAATTCCTACATTATTGGTGATTTTTTTCTCTTAAGTGATGCTTCGAAGAACAATATATTGGAGATACCGAATGATACGTTGCTTCGACTGCAGTACCTAAATATAATGTAAGTGGACACGTTTTTGTGCGTATATACGCGGCCTACGTATTGTGATATCATTTGAATGAGAACTCCTTCCATTAACTATGATGCAGCCTGTGGAATCCACTTTTATCTGCATACAACGGGCGTCCACACTTCAGAATGTAGGTAATGTTCACATTAACCATGTTTATCCTATTTCAAATACCCTTTTTTCACGAATCGGTAGACATCTTGAAGTGATCAAAACAAAACAAAATTGTGACATTTTATATGATAAAATAAATTAAAAATTCATCGTGTGTAACTGATATTTTAAGTTTTATTGCATATTAGCGTACATCTTTTACCCGTTTTGGCGTTAAATTTGACTGTAATTTCTTGAGTTTTAATTCACACTGATACAACTTATAATATCAATGTTGTAATTATGTGCTTGAAAAACTGCCTCTTTATTTAATTCATACCAATCACCACTTAAAGTCGTTATTGACCTAATATAATTGTTTAATTCTACTCTAACAAAAAAATTCTATCTTTTAGAGTACTGGACTTTAACAACCTTACATCCTTGCCTAAGTTTCCAAAAGGAATCAGGATCATGTATGTATTTATATTTTTTTATAAAATCGTTTTAATCAAACTGGCCTAATTTAGTGATCGGTCTGTTTTACAAACATAGATGCCTATTACGGACGACCTGCCATACGGCATTTGCTTTTAAAAGCTACCTATTTCAAGGCACTAAATAAGAAACCTTCATAAAAGTGATCTCAGTCTCGAGTTAGAGGGGTCTCATAATTACAAGGTGAGCTCGAAATTTAAAAGATAGGTGGTCAGTTTGTTTATAAAAGAGGTCTCGAATTGGTGGGAGCACTGTATGAGGAACCGACAACAAAAATATCAATCTAAGAAATTATATTTACGTAATAAAAAATATTATTTACGTGACTCTTGTTGAATGTTGCCAAGGTGCGAGCGCGGTAAGCGGAGAAAGTGAAAGCTTCGTTACACGACGCTATTGCAGTTGCCATTGCCCGATGGAGGTTGAAAGCAGCATAGTTCAGAAATTCGGCCTATGAATTAGAACGAAAGAAAAACGCATTTTCAGGATTATATGCAATCCATTCTGTAACAATATAGCGCCTATGGATCTGTGCCTGTTATTGTTGTACCTAAGTTCTTAGCCTGGGTTCCAGGCCCTAATTTTAGGTTACCTGTCTCTTATACACATCTAGATGTGTATAAGAGACAGGTTTATTATAGGCCTGTATGTAATATTTTTGGCAGAATCTTGTGTTGCATAATTAATATATTGAAAGAGTGTCTGCATGTATGGATACTGTATATATATAAATAACGACTTTCCATGACGATCCAGTCCTCCACAAAAACAAAAAAAAAAAAAAAAAAAAGAAA